TTAATGACCCAGCTATTCCTATTGCTTAGTATTCTCGGACACCGATTCACTCGACAAGTCCCCAAATCAGAACACGGTTGAACAGGGAAAAGATTATATTCCAAATAGCAAGTCAGAAGCCAGTAGGAAGCACAATAGGGGAAAACGTCAGTATATTTATAGTTTTTACATAAGAAGAATCCAGAAAATTCTCCAACTATCGACTAGCGCTGATTGGATAAGAATTAGCCAATCAGCGTGCACCAAAGCAATCATGCATTGAGCATGCTTTAATCTAGTCTATGTCCCGCTAACACTACTCCTCACGAATGGCGTTATATATGTCGTCCACTGAATAATCTAATTTTCAAAAATAACCCAGGCGAGTTCAACTATTTTACTTAATGATTTTTTTACTTAACATGTATATGTTTTCCGGTTCCTTTTGCTATATATTTGTAAGTGTCCCTAGGCTAAATGCAGTAACTCCTTATGGGATGTTTATAACGCATCATATTCCTGCCTGAAGTTTCACAAGCAGTCTAAACTTTAAAACTATTTTCTGGTCATGTTCATTATTTTTAAATCGTCATATACGTCAACAACCTGCATGTTAACCTGGCCCATACATACGTTGCACTATATCTCCATGTCTTCTAAATTTAGGAATCATCTGAGTCGCCTTTAGCATTTATCAATAAACCCATCATAGTCGTTGTTGCTAATCGTATTTGGGTTTATGGATTGGTTTGTCATATTAGCAGCCTAAAATGCGAACATAGTTTAGATAATAAGATTAAAAATTTAGGTACTGTCAACTGCACTAGTAAAATAACCAAATCCCCAGGTAGCTGTTGACTAAACAAACGTTTAAAATCAAAACTCCGTAGCCTACTAAAATTAACACTAAACGAATATTTCTGAATTGAAATTTATAATTAAATTAGGCGTCCCGGATTCTTTAACGTTATAAGTTTCTGATGATTTCGAATCACCTAAAGCAACAATACCTATTTTTCCACTGACTAATCCTTAATCAACACTATAACTAGTTAAATTTAATAGTTTCAGGATATCGTCATAAAGCATTGTCATAACTTGACAATCACGTAATATGATTGATAATATTAATGAAACTATTAACATAACCGGTCTTCAAATCGACTTGTAATTATCACTAGTGTTGTTTTTCTTTTATCTTCATTCACTACAGATGATTACAGTATGTTTCTCTATCAGTTGCTCATTCAGTAAAAATCTCAAAACCTTGTCAGTCTAATTGATGGTTTAGCGACACAATCATGCATGCAAATAATCAGTATAAGCAGTCGAGCAAATCTCCTGTAAACTGAAAACATCAATGTCGAATTTACCCCAACACTGACTAAGGTTCAAGCCATTATCATAGACATGAGTTGGGAGTGTACTCCCCTTGGTTACAACTTATGTTCTCCCTGTTAATCACATGAGCATCACTCACTACTAATCATCTTGTAAAAACTTATTTAGCTAAATACATCTTGCAGCACCACACCACTTCGTAATATGACACAGGCCTAACTGATTTTAATAACCTATAACCACTATATCTCAATTTAATCGTATTTCGCCTTATGATAAACTGCATACTTGCAACTAACTTGTATGCCCAATCAGCCAGCAAGTATAAATATAAATAAATAGTCTGCAGATCAGAACATTGAGTCCAGAGCATGTCTCTTACGAATACACTCATGTTTAGCGATTTGTTCCTAGCTATCTGTCCAAAATCCATATAATTATCACTCACGTATTTGAATTTTATTTTGGTAACCATTCATGTGTATTAGTAGTATTACTAAATTCTATCACGGTCAAGTAAAAATGAGGTTGAGAAAATCTCCCCGTAACTAAATAAACCGTATCAAACTAACTGGAACACTAGTTGGAATTCTGTTCCATGGTAATACTTTTGTTCTTTCAGTTAGCCTACTAATACAGATGCAATTGGAAATCACATATGGACGGGTTACCGGCATAATTGTTAATTGGTTTCATAATTTAAACCAAAACTAATACCAATATTAACATTTCTACAATATTCATTACTTTAATAATTCTAAACACAAAATACTTACTACCTATATGTCAAGTTATTAACCAACGGCTATTAACACGCATCGTTATAATATTATTATTATAAAGCCATTCTTTATAGTTAAAATAATCTTCACCCAAATTTTCATTTCAAGCGTGTTAAGCATGAAGGCAGATTTTTTTAAAAATATTATTACATAAATTTCCCGACCAGATGCTGCCGCCTTCTTTTTGATTTATCTTTCAGCTTACCAATACCCGGAGGATTCTTATTATCCTTGGCAACCTCCGGCGCGCGACGATCCCATCCAATTTGGTATCGAACCAACATCACGTTGATTCTGGTGGGAGAGTAGTGTAGTGGCATTGGACAATAGCCACACAATCCACAAAGCTGTGAACACGAGACTACTCAGAAAATAAATATTCAATATTTAACGCCGAGAAATACCTAAAAATGGAGAAGGCGCGAACAATGAATTGAATGGACTGGAGTTGATCGAGTGGCATGGCTCGGCCATGCAGGCGTGGTCTCTATTCATATTAAATATATTGTTCTTTCTCTAACCTAACCTCGTTCTTCATCATGTATTGGTAATTGATACGATACAGTGAGTTGGCGTAGTCGATGGTGTGACTTCCACGTAAGATCTTATAGATTAGGCAGTTATATCATGACGAATCTACAAATTTAGGATTAGGTCTATTATTAGAGCAGTACTAATATCATAGTAGACCATAGTTCTACAGACCTACTGCTGCTGAGGCTGCTGCCACACTGTTCGTCTTCTGCATCTGTTGTTGCGTTTGGGATAGAAGGGCCAAATCATCTGCGAAGTCTAGACCATCTAAATGCATCCTAGATGTCTACTGTATCTCGTGTTTCCCTTCAGATGTTGACGTCTTCATGATCCAGTCGATCAGCAGGAGAAAGAGAAAGGGTGAGAGTAAGCAACCTTGCCTGACACCGGTCATTATTTCGAACGAGTCCGTCAATTGTCTTCCATGCACGATTTTGCAGTTTAATCCATCATAGGAATTCTGTATGATATTGACTATCTTCTGAGGCACGCCGTAGTGTCGAAGAAGCTTCCATAGTGTTGTTCTGCCCACACTGTAAAATGCTTTTTCGTAGTCAATGAAGTTGATGTAGAGTGATGAATTCCATTCAATTGATTGTTCCACAATGATCCGTAGAGTTGCTTTTTGGTCTGTACACGATCTATCCTTACGGAATCCTGCTTGTTGGTCACGAAGTTGGGCGTCTACGCAGTCCTTCATCCTGTTTAACAATACCCTGTTGAAGACTTTTTCCGGTATTGAGAGAAGAGTGATGCCCCTGTAGTTATCACAGTTGCTGAGATCGCTTTTCTTTGGTATTTTGATCAGAAGTCCTTCTTTCTAGTCTATTGGTACTTGTTCCTCATCCTAAATCTTATTGAAGAGAATGTGGAGTATCCTTGCAGTTGCCGAAATGTCTGCTTCTAGTGCTTCTGCTGGAATGTTGTCTGGTCCTGCTGCTTTGACACTCTTGATTTGTCTGATGGCCATGCTGATTTCTTCAATTGTTGGTGAGCCAACATTGATTGGGTGGTCCGTGGGTGGTCTGTTATTCGCATAGTCCATTTATTGGGATTTTTCGCTACCGTTTCCTGCAATATCCCCGAAATCATATCTGGACCAATTTACTTTAATGTGATTGACTAATGAAATCCGGGAGATACATACAAAAGGAAGGATAGAAAAATGAGCTGAAAGAACACCGGAGCAAATATAAAGAAAACCTGAGTTGCTTGTTGTAGTCAGAAGTGTGATTATTCACAAGTCTAAACGTATATCTGCAATAATGACCATATAGAAAGCGATTCCAAGGAATGTCAGATATGGATACAAAACATTCGTGTGTAATTGCCAGGAAATATGCCGTATGACATTAGCTTAAATAACGACATACACGTATGGATATTTGTCGTCAAATTAGGATGCTAGCAACTGCTGTCATCAAAGGGGTGGACGTACATAGATAAAATAAAAAAAGCGTCTTTAGACTTGTAGTGAATCTTCTTTTCGACGACGAACATGAATGAACTATCCAACATTTTCCCTCTCATTTAGTGAGTGGATGCTGCATAAAAGGACATGACTTTTTACCAGAGTACCTAAGAAGATAGAAACGATGTTTCCAGCAAACGTTATGCTGATAAACAGTACTGAATCACTAAATAAACGAAAGCATTATCAAAAATACCGGATATAGCACCTTTAATGAACATCAAAGAAGGTTGATTATGATTAAACAGCAGAAATGTATAATTTTGAACCTAGGTGATGGAAAACTGAGACTTTCAAAGTGTGAGTGATCTATTAATGATTGATACTCACTAAAAAGAAACGGCAAAAGCGTCCAAACTCTTCCTGAGTGCCATTCAGGCTTTGGTTTTGATTGAATCGAAGGAGGACTGCATAACCTTTTCCCCCAATTCATTCTACAGTCTGTGGACGTTACTAGTGAAGATCAAAAGTATCTCGACATATCGATAACCTGACATATATATCTACGAAATCCTTCATTCCTGGTTTCTGATTCGACTAGGCTCGTATCCTTTTGCTTGAAGTGGTGTTACAGGAAAAGCTGCTCTCAATTTCAGAATATGCATAGCATCTTTACTATCATTAGGAGACCTCCATTATTTAGTATTTTAGGGTTGGAAATTTGAAAATGTACAAAGTAAACCCCATGTATTCTTTCAATCCATATTACCTGTTTCTAATTGAATGTTACTTTTTTACTTAAGTTAGACGAATAGGGGAACTTTCAGTCTTTTTGTAAATCGTCATCACAGTCATTTTGAACTATAGTATTATTGGAACAGTTGACCTCAAAAGCCGATTGTTGCCAGATTTGAAATGTGGATGTGTTTCTGTCTGACTCATAACTTTTTGATATGATTCTGAAGCCTGTAATGTTGGTCACCGTTTTCGTCTTGAACATACTTCTTCGAACGGTTCACAGTTTTGCCTACAGCCAAATAGAAGGTGTTACCGTCCTGCATCCCGAAGATTTCGACAACAAAACATCGGAGGGAATCTGGCTCGTGATTTTCTATCGCAAGACTTGTGGACACTGTATAAGCTACTCTAAACCTTTTTCCCAATTCTGCCGCTCTGTAAAAAGTAACTTAATATTCATTCTTCTCAAGGTGACTTTACTGATTATTTGAAGATTGGAATTGGGCACTTCATCTCGGATCTGTGGATTGTGAAGATCAAACTAATATGGATTTATGTTATCGTTTCAAAGTACAAGGAGTTCCCACTCTTAGGGTAAAGTATTGTTTTATAATTATTTCCCAGTTCCTGTCCACGAAAAATAGTAAACAAACGTCCGAAGAAATTCCAGCTGAGTGGAACATGACATTACTGCGGAAAAGCATTGCCTCTAAGTTAGTAAATGTCTCTGCTCTTCAACTCCCAAGGTAAGTAGAAAACAAGAAACTTCACTTTTTATAGGGACTTAGCAGTTAATGATCCAATAATTGTTACAGGTAGTGATATAGAAGTAAACGCTCTGGTGAGTTACGAGACCATTTCAAAATTTTATGTAGATTGTCTGACTTGAACATTTAATTAAGTGTTTACATGTAGCTTAACAGATTTAGACACTTAATTGCTATTATAATGTCTTTCAAGGGAAATATTGAACGAATCTTTCCATTTTAAAGGTCACATTACAACTGAAGTCATATTCAGATTTGTGTAGTTAGGACAGAAGGCCTACGGCCTATGTTATTCCTTTTCTAGTATGCTTCTGTCAGTGTCCGGTCTTTTCTTGAAAGGGTCGATTGAAGGTGCGAACACCACTGTTTCGGGCAGCAGGTTTTAAGTATTGATGACTCGGTGTGAGAACCTGTATGCCACAGGTAGTTTGTTCGTTCTTGGCTTTTCTACTCGCCTGCTATGTCCTCTGAGATGTCCCAATCTAGTGGGGAGAAAAACAGAATAAGTTAGGTCCAAAATCATTTCTCAGTATTCTGTACATCAAAATTAGATCTCTCCTTAGTCTGCGATAGGACAGAGTAAAGAGATCCAGTTTTTCAAGCCGCTCTTTGTATGGTAAACCCCGGAGTTCTGGAGTTCCACGGGTAGCTGCCCTCTGTGTTTTTTCTAGGATATTCGAGTCACTTTTCAAACAGGGGCTTGCAGCCTGAACGCAGTTCTCAAGCTTAGTTCTCACTAAGGATATGTATACTGTGGTGAACATGGTAGTATCTAACTTAGCGAATGTTCGTTTTAAAGCTCAGAGGGTTCGAAACCCCTGTGACCTCTCGGCAATGGACCGTCGTCTTAAGATCATGACTCACTGTCACCCCTAGATCCTTATGAGACCGTACCATGGGTAATGGCACTTCTCCTATGTTTTACCTATTAACGTTTGAATCTCCAAAGTGCATGTAGACACACTTTGCCGCGTTGATAAGCATCAGTGACTTTAGACCAGCTAATCATATTTAAGTCTGCCTGAAGAACACATGCGTTTGTGTCTCCAGTTATTACTCGCCAGATCTTTACATCGTCAGTGTATAATAATATTGGAGACTGTACTATACTTGGAAGATCATTAACATACATTATAAAAAGTAAGAGACCTAGGACGGAACCTTGAGGTACTCCAAAAAGTACTGGTCCCCAGATGGAGCACTTGGAATTTATTCGTACTTTCTGTCTACGACCTACTAGGAAATCCTTAAGTCATTTTAAAAGAGGTCCGAAAATACAAAAGTTTTCCAACTTCAATAGCAGTTTATTAGTTGGCACCTTGTCAAAAGCCTTACTGAAGTCTATGTAGACAACATCCACTGAGTTTTCGTTGTCTAGCGCCTTTATCCAAAACTCCCTTGCTATAAGGAGGTTCGTTGTACAAGATAAACCCTTTCTAAAACCATGTTGTTCTATGTTTGACACGTTATTGGTTTCCATAAATGCCATTATGGTCCGTTTGACTATTCTTTCCAATATTTTAACTACAACACTGGTGAGGCTTACAGGTGTGTAGTTCGATTACTGTAAATTTGCTTACATTTAAGCTGATCACTAATGTACTACAAAATGTGTGAGTTTAAAAGATACAAAGTGCAAAATAATGTTGTAAACTAAGCCGAAATAATGACAAAAAATGGGTACATTCGCCAACCAGTTTGTTATTGGCGTAAGAATTGATTTTTAAGCTGAGTTCGGTAAAGTGGTTTTGCATATATTAAGTACATTAGGCGACTATACATTTTGGTAATTAGTGAGAAAAAGTTCTGAAGGATTTTGGTGCTAAACTTTGTAAAGTGATTGTAATAAAGTATGTACTTAAATACAGACTTTGAAAGGACAGTTTTATTCTAAACCATAGTAGATTATTAACTTTAGTATGCTTTATCTAGGTATCAGTCGTAGTTCGTTGTTCATATTTTTAGCTTAAGATGCTACATGTCAAAAGTTAATAATTCAAACATGTAACCGACTTTAAATACCTCATTCTTGGTAGACATGTTTCAGTTCTAATGTCTTAAATCCTCAATGGCTGATTAATGTCGTCGTTTTACTGTATTTTCTTTAAAGCTGTTACTGGATTATAGTCTCCTTCTAAAACGAGAGATCCAAAGCGTAGTAAAACCAGGCTTAAAGGAAATAGATGTCACGAATCGTCTTTCTGGTGAAGTAATTGTTAAGTAAGTAGAATTCTCTTACATCAATATGTACACAGTTTTGTGAATTTTCAATATTTACATCAATACGCTAGTTATAAATATCAAATACTACACCAGCGTCTTTATTATAATACTTTTTTCTTTAAAAATTAATGGGTTGATAATGTTTAAATAACTCCATTTAGTTCAGTGTAAACGTTAGCATTAATTGGAGAATAGTAAATTACTGGTGGATGAACTACTTCATTTACTGACCCGTTAGTCATAATATTTTCTTTATTAAATTTTTTTTCATTAACGGGCCAAATATAAATCTGAACAGTTCCATAAAAATACATATCTTGGTAAATTTTTAAACAATAATTTGGTATGACTAAAAGACGAGTAAAAAAACAACCGAGAATGTTACTCACTTACGGTTCCCTAAAACTGTTTATCTTTCCTCGAATGAGACACTGAAAATTTAAAAGTTTGGGGAAACTGACAGTCGATATTGAGATTTAATTTTGCTTGCCCATAGCTCTGACTTTAAGTGGACCATGGTAACAAGTGTGACAGCGATTTTATATTTCTTCTTAATTTGATTATTTATGAATCCAAATAGTCCAAGTCTTATTAACTAAGCCATTCAGCAGATGAATATTCACGAAGACAACCTTTTCAATATTGGTGTATGTCCAACCTAATTTTTTATGCATATAACTGCACTTTGGTTGGTTTTAAATAGTAGCCGTTCCTTATTTTAGTTTTTCGTGAATCGTTTAATTATTTTAAGATCAAACGTACAAAGTATTATGTTTTGAGACTACTGACTAATATGACTTGTCAGTTTGTCAAACAAATTCCTAATTTTAATTTGGTTTATTTTGCGTCTACTATTTTCTAGACAGCCTAGTGTCCGCGAATTGACCGATTACATGCACGATCAGTACTACCGAGTTTGAGCCGGCAGTTAAACTTCTGATGGTCTGCCATTCACAAGCTCTTTTCCATGTACTGCCTTAAGTTCAAAAGTAGCAACCAACCGCTTTTTATATCTATATTTTAAACAGACGTAGTTTGAATACAGAAATACTGGACCACAACTCACCATAAAATGGAAAATAACATTTTTACTTAAACAAACCAATGGTGACTGTGAATAGAAAAGACTATAAGTGATAGAGTAGCATTGAATTAGGAATGGTAACTCGTGTAACAGTAGCTCATGGTTTAACTGAAAGCATATGGTAAATGGAATATATATATATATATTATATAGTATTTTAATTGCTAATTAATTATACAACAAAACTATGGTTATTAATAGTTCGAAAAATCAGTCCCAATTTTCAAAACTTTCGTTCTGTTGTAGCAAAAGTTATTGTCTTCATTTTCCGTAGCTTATATAAATAGAATAAGTTTATATAGTTTACTATTGACAATCTTGTTAGATATGTTTAATAATATGAAAGCGTCTACGTATTTTTTGCTTTATATTGACTTTCATAAAACTTATTAGGGGACCCGAGGAACAGGTTAGGATGGTACTTGAACGAATCGCAGGTAGTGAACCAAGGTTGGAAGAAAACAGTCAGCCAGAAATGTGAGTTCCTAACTATGTCTAATCATGCTAATTTTATGTGTCTGTTCATATGCCTATCAAAAACCAACTTGGTTTCGTAAAGTCTTGAAAGAATAAAGTGGAACATTTTTCTGAATTTATGGCTTGATGTTACTGCTGCACAACTAGTCGGAAACCCTATTATTATCGGATAGCAATTTGTTACGTCACTCAGTCAATTAATAATACTTAACATAAAACCTGGTGCATATGTGAAACAGTTCAAGTTGCCACACCCTGTTAGCGAAACGAGATGAAGTTAGGGCAAATCCTATAGTGGTAGACACAGTTACAGCATTAATGACAATAAGAAAGATTGAGCATAAAAATATGATTCGAGAGGAAAAAGATTAGTGGTACGAGGTAATTTTATGGTATAATTTGGAGACTTAGGATTAAAGTGATGAGTAGATGTACTTGACAATGTTAAAGTTGACAATTTGAACAGAATAGTCCTTTGGGGGGGAGGAGTAAAAAAACACTTAAAACCTATTTATGCCGATCAGATGTGCTGATTAGTTGGTTTAATGGATTATTTGATTGCTGACTATGAGTTTGACTGGAATAATTGAGTTCTCAAAGCTAAAACTTTAAATTACATGGTCTTTAATCAATTATTTGTACTAAATGGAAATGCATAGGATCAGAGCAAGATCCACTTTCTGATTCAACTACTTTAAAGTAATTGGCTTACGTGAACTACAAACAAATTGGTCCCCAAACGGAGGGGATGAACGTCCAGTATATATATATATATATTTGAAATTTTACTAATGGTAAATAAAATCGAACACAGAACAAGGAGTCTAAGATAAAAAGATATACGAATCTAACAATTTAATGTATGTAGGTAGTCACAAGTCATGTAAACGTTGCATGTGATAAATTCACTGTCGACAGGCACTTAAAGTGAAACACATCTGAAATACAAATACTTTTTTCTGTATTTTACTATTCTGTACAAAAGGTTTGATGAACCTAGCCTGAAACTAGTGTTTTCATCAGTAACTTGAATATAAGTTTATGTCATAAACTGATGTCGATTCTCCTTGATAATACTTTTGTCAATAAATCAGCTGAATACATTATGGGGGTATTTTTTAAGCGGTCATTGATCAATATATTATTACAGTATTTCTCAAAAAATTTGTTATAGAGATGTTAAAACAACACCAATCCAAGTTAAATATCCACCGGTTTACGCGGTTGACATCTATCGGTCACTAAGTATGCTACTACAGTCTGACGTTGGTGCAAGTGATAAAATTGAGGGACCAGCCTTAGAAGCTCTTAAAGAATTTTTGGACATGTTATACGAGGTAAGTTTTAAACCAAAAACAGTGTTCGTTATAATAATTAGAAACGTATTTCACCGGATTAATTTTCAGTATATATGAGTTTTTCCCCATAGAGTTTACACATTCTTCCATACTTATCGCTGTTATTCTATGATTCTTCATTGATAGCAATATGAAGTATAAACTTGTTTCTAGATAACTATTACTATTGTTCCCGGGTTGTAAGCAGCTGAAGAGAAAAATCGGGAATGAATTGATTTGTCTTATTCTACCATATATATTGTTCTTGCTTCAATCGAATTTGTTGGAGTTAGTTTATAACGTGATTATTGTAAATATGAAATGATGTGTAATTATCTCCTTTACTCTAAGTATCATTCTTCCACAAAGGATAAAAGTCTAAAATTTCATTAGTTTACTTCTCACGTTTTGGTTATTTTTCACTTTTAAGTGAAAAGGGTTTTAAAAAAGGTAATGGGATACCTTCATTTTGTGTTAAAAATAACCGTGTATGCCCAAAAATATTAAATTTCACATTTTAATTGAACACTAAAGGAAGGATGACAAATCTTACGTGTCTGACAGTCCTGTACAGGGCCTAAGTTGTTTTTTAGAGTATCAGTGATTAATATGACTTTTTTCTTCAATAAATTTATTTTCACCGAATCTTTATGGTTGTTTGTCCGTCTGATGATAATCCGTCACGCTATGAAACTGTAATAATAATATTCTCACTAAATAGTAGTAACTAACAGCCTTCTTAATTCTTACACTTTTTACCACAGTAATGCAAGATAATTCCGTCCAGACATTAACATTTTAAAAATTACTCATATGATAAACTCATTTGAAAGTCTTTCGGTAATAAAAGTTGAAATCACTGAACTGTATGGATTGACTTGATGAGAGTATAGTGATACAATTTAAAGCTTATTTATAATTCGTCCAAAATTTAAGTTCAATAAGTGTCAAAATATTGTAAATAATTGACATATATCTACTGATCATCCATCTATGTGTAAGACGTACATTATTAAAGTTATCAGATGACTGGAGATTGACAGAACGGTTACACACCATTTTCTTCACTTTTTATTTCGATTGATTTTAAATAAATATGTTTAAATTCACTGTATCAATGCGTGTTGTATTATCTATTTCGACAATTAGTGTTACCACTTGTGTTTTCCGCAGGTCGTCCTACGTTGTTGAAAAACATTTTTACAGCTCTAAAAAGCGTGAACATGCCGAAAATAAGTTTTGATTGATTAAATAACATATACTAATCTCAAACTTATTGCTTTTTGAACTATTCTTTTGAAATATTATCTACCTCAAGTCAATTAGCATTAGCCAGTGTACTACTAGAGGCTTAATGGTACTATTGATTGGGTGTCCTATCATAATTTTGATCATTAGTGAAGGATTACTAATACTCAAAGTCAAATAAAATAGTATCAATCAATAAGTTTGAAATTATCAACTTAGTACAGTTCAATCATATTCTATTATGCTGTGAATAATTGTTTTGCTCATAGATTAACATCAGGTGGAGAAAGTATTTAGAAAATGATGGACCATGATTTTTATCACAAAATAATCTTCCATCTGGTAAAAGCTTCTATTATCGGTACATTTGATTTAATCACAATGAGAAAATAGCTACCATTTCTTTTTGTTCAGTCGTGTGATTCACATTCTCAAAATTTTCGACTACATACTCTGGCGACTTGAATTTGACCGTTTTTTGAAAACCTCAAATAGATCTTTGTCGAACATCAACATTAAGAATCTTTGAATATTGACAGCGATTTATGCAATGCATAATTATGAATGTCTCTTTAGATCAAATTTAGATATTAAAAACTTTTAAGTCCTAAATATGTACATATGTAGTAACTTTTGGAATATAAACTGTCATAAAATCGTCATTATTAACATTTCATACATTTCTGCATATCAGATCCTAACTGCTAATTAGTAGTTATATTTATTTTGCTTGTTTATTTTTGCGTAACGATGGTGACCGATCATTCTATGCAAACTAACAAAATAATTTTTAATTTCGATGAATAATTTACTGATTTTTACAGTACCTATCGCATATAATGGAAACTGGTCACAACCAACTAACTAATGATAATTATTTTCATAAGATGATATTTCTTCTGCAAAATTTTTACAATGCAGGCAATAAATTATTCTATTTGGCAACAAAATGATGGTATTATCACTATTACTGTAGCACTAGTGACCACTTGTGTTACTGTTACGAATTTTCATGATGTAGAAGTTATTTAAACGAATATAGACGAATGTTAATTATTCTTATGTAAGAGATTGAGTTAGGTTGAGTGCCGTGAGACGACAAACTATCATGGTTGTTTTCATTTTATTTTGATAGTTTTTCTGGATTATGATTGACAATATTTTCGAACTAGATCATATCAATCGATCAAATATGCCTATTGCTCAAATCTAAAGTCAACAAAAGTTATATTTCCTAGTTGAGGTTTTGATGTACAGACTGTTTAGTAGTGAATATTTTACCATATCTCAATTTAAGTTATTCCGCTTTGGGAATCCAATTATAAATGAAAAATTTCCTTACTACAGTAATTAGGATTAACGGGTTTTTATCTGAATGATTATCCCATGTTTCTTTGGATAGAGGCACCAGAAATAAATAACGAGTTATCTTTACAGGAAATTTTTTATACGGAATAAACTGTTCATGAAGTTCTGTGTTTCTTTTTCATTTCTGGGAAGTGGTAGGCAAACAATGTTTTAGAACATTAGTCTAGAAAATTTCATGCTTTAAACACCAGTGAATCAAAATCCAGTGGCTACATTCGTTTACTTAAGTTTCAAAGGATTTCCACAGTATAAATATTATGTATAACACAGGGGCAGCATTATATTCTTTTAATTATTTTTTAATTATTTTATTTTCTCTGGATTCAAGATTCTTCCGGCTTCTCAGGAATATAAAGCTCACCTGTCTGAAATTTCCGTTTGGTTAAATTCTAAAACAAGTATTACGGGTCAAGAATGGATTGCGTATCTTGAAGGAATTCAAGTATGTTCTGTCAGCATCTGTTTATTTCCACGTTATGTATTACCTCCGCCGCTAGATACTATGCCTTATCAATTTATGTTCAGAAAAACCTAATTTCATGGACTAACAAAAGACATATTTGAAAAGGGAAAACGTTTGTTTTCATTTGATCGCGTACACATATCGAATGACGTAATAATACAATCTGATAATAAATCTCAGTATAAATTTTTTAGTTCTATTAGTTATGATCCCGAAGTGTTAGTAACCTATTTCAGTATATAATTAGAAGCATACTCACGCCTAGGTTTTTTTATAGTGCAGTTTACTGATATTTATAAAAGTCCTACATTACAACAGTTTCAGGTTCATATTTAAAAAGAAACAACAATATGTAAATCAATAGATAAAGCAAATCTTCCTTCATATTCTTATTAGAAGCTATTTCACTAAAATAAGGGAATAATAAATATGCAGAGAAAATTAGATAGAATTTCAGGAAAAGTTTATTTTTCACAGAATTTTGGGACTCTTATATCAGTATACTTCATTATTATTATTATTATTATTATTATTATTATTATTATTACTACCATTATTACTATTGTTATTATTACAGTTTAAGTATAAATTATGTAGGCCAAATAAAAAATCGATTCTCTGACATAACTATCCAGTCCAAAATTGATTTTATGCTAACTGACGTGATTATATAGATATGAATACAATTCAGATCATTTTTTGTTTAATTTAAGCCAGATAAAATATTGGCTTAGGTATTTAGGTATAATTAAAATGACGTAAATCTAACAAAATTTTCATTCTTGAAGAAGAATATGGAGGCTTTTATATTTTATTCATAATTTACAATGAAATCTAGAATTTCTGGTCTGTTTTGATTAGTATTGTTTTTCTAGGTAAATGCTAAATTAGGTGATAAAACTATGCACTAACAAGACGTTAGGTCAAAACAAAGTTATCTGCCGAAGTATATATAATTTAGTAATTGTTCAGTTAAGTACTGTTTGTAATATATAATCAACTTATATATGTTATTAGCTATTCATCTGTTTAATGTAGTCAGTCTGTGCTTAGAATTCTTATTTAGTTTTCTTAAATTTCATATTAAATAAATTAACAAAATATTTACAAAGATGTTTAACAGTAAAAGGAATTATTATCTTGTAGAGAATATCAGAGAAAATGTATTATATTTCTATATTATTATGAATTGTTCATTTCGTTTGCTTATGATGTAACATGAACTTTATTCGTTTCATGCTTCCTAATTACGAAATTTATTTACTGTCCCTTTTTTATTCTCTATCAGTTCCCTACATATAAAGGACCATTTGTAGCGTGTAATGGAAGCAAACCACATTTTCGAGGATATCCATGCGGTTTATGGACTTTATTTCATGCATTAACGGTAGAGCAATATCTGTTATCATCCTCCGGTCCAGGTTAATATTTAATTTACTTTTTTTCAAAAGTCAATATTTATACTTACTATCATAAAAATTTATGCTTAAAAATCAGATTTTTTATTATCCCCGTGTCAGTTGTTTGAGTGTACGAAATATTCAAGTGGATAAATGTTGCGATTTTATCCACTTGTCTTGCCTTTATAAATTTAATGCATTCTATTTGTACATGTTAAGTTTACCCAACCAGATGGTAAGCTGATAATAATTTGTACATGTAATATTCTGGTAAGTCCTTTAACGTTTGAAAAACTATGCTAATGCAACTCACTTAGTAGATTCAACTGGAAGTCAAACATTCAATATGAGAACTGGTTGTAAAATCTATGAACTGTCCAAGTTAAAGTAGATAAAATGTATTTCAAGCTTTTATCTTTTTGCTTAAAAATTATTTCCCTCTAAATTAGGTTATTTTCTTTAGTATATAAATTAATCTTTGGTTTTGAAGTTCACTACATTAACTTTAAAGTGCAGTGTATGATTATTAGTTCTTACATAAAAGACATGACTTTAAACTTAACAACGAAACTCGCAAATTATTAATAAGTTTTGTTAATTTGAATTTTTTCTGTTCACTTAGTATGCTCATAAGGTAGAAGCAGTGAAAGTTAACCAATAATATCTTCCATATTGTTTCTAACTAATTCCAAATTATTTTTAGCCGAATGAAACTAGTATTAAAAGTATTGTACTCCGGTATTTAGGAGGGTAATAATATTCTACAGTAAATCATCAGAAATTTTCTACAAATCTGGATAAAATAAGTGTTTTTGATAGGTTTGACGAAATATAAATATTTATTATGAAGTATACTATTCACGTCTGAATAATTCATTCTTATCAAAATGAAAATGTTGAAATGTCCTTTGTTTTTCTGTTTTAGACCATCAAGTAGATTCAGTCGCTCATGCTTTAAATCGTTTCGTCCCCCAGTTCTTTTCATGCTCATACTGTGCATTTCATTTTGCATTGAATACAGCAAACGTAGTAAGACCAGGGGAATCTGTCTTACCGGAAAATCGTGTTACTCCTAATCCACATGAACTAGTGCTTAATGAATCAGTTATTCCTACTTTACCTAAAGCTCCAGAGACTCCTAGAGATACTGTATTATGGTTGAATATATTACATAATCGTGTAAATAAACATTTAGCTGGTCAACCATCAGAAGATCCAACTGCACCTAAAATTCAATTCCCACCGTCTTATTTATGTCCTGCCTGTTGGTCACAGAGTTCAACAGGTGAATTGGAATTAGGTAAAACTCCAGAGACCGAGGAATCATTGTTTCAATTCCTTGTTGAGCGATATCGTGCATCATCTTGGAAGTATGTGGATTTACCTACAGTATTCATAACTAACGCTGTGTAAGTCTCCTTGTTATTTTACTTATTGTGATAATTCAACTACTTTCATCATAATGCAAGATTATCGGACTTATACACATAAATGGACTGTTCAGTGATGATGATTATTATTGTTTGACTTAACTTTTAATGCCATTTTCTAATGTTGTGCACATCGCGTAACGCTACTTATTCAATGATTGACCACAGATTGTTCCTTAAGATTAATTTGAACTTCAAATTAAGTTTTACCGTGTTAATTAAGAGTTGAATTTAAAATAACATCTTATGATATTCAATACAATATTATTAACTGTTGGAAGTATTTGGTTTAGCTCTCATATTCGTAATTGTCAAGATGGATCATGACGTTTCTGTTATTTATATAACTGGTAAACTTTAATATGATGATTGGTCAGTCTTGTTTTTCTGAAATGTAACGTAATGACGATAGTATTTCGGTAATCACTATCCTATTTTACTTTAAATTGAGTGTGTAAAATGTCCAGACTAGTAATTTATTTTCATTCAAAGAGTAGCGTTTTATTTCAAACGTATGATATTTTTCTCATTATTTATACAGTCATTGAACTGTTTTATCAAGATTACTCAAGCTATTTATCATTACATATTAAAATATGTTAGCTTTTTAGTATCGGCCACTTCTATTCAGACCCATCTACTTCGTTTGTTATTATTCGTTATGCTTACTTACTTACTTACGCCTGTTACTCCTCGTGAAGGAGCATAGGCCGCTCACCAGCATTCTCCATCCAACCCTGTCCTGGGCAATCCTTTCTAGCTCCGTCCAGTTGTAATTCATCCTTTTCATATCTGCTTCTATTATCCGACGCAATGTGTTCTTTGGCCTTCCTCTTTTTCGCTTCCCTTCAGGATTCCAAGTTAGGGCTTGCCTCGTGATGCAGTTCGACGATTTGCGTAATGTATGTCCTATCCATTTCCATCGTCTTTTCCTAATTTCTTCTTCAGCTGGAAGTTGGTTTGTTCTCTCCCACAGAAGGCTATTGCTGATGGTATCCGGCCAATGGATGTTGAGTATCTTGCGTAGACAGTTATTTATAAATACTTGTACTTTCTTGATGGTGGTTGTTGTAGTTCTCCAAGTTTCAGCTCCATACAGTAGAACTGCCTTGACGTTCGTATTGAAGATTCTTACTTTGATATTGGTTGAAAGTTGTTTTGAGTTCCATATGTTCTTCAATTGTAGGAAAGCGGCCCTTGCTTTGCCGATCCTCGCCTTTACGTCTGCATCGGATCCTCCTTGTTCATCGATGATGCTTCCGAGGTATGTGAAGGACTCTACATCTTCCAGAGTTTCGCCATCAAGTGTGATTGGATTGCTGTTCTCCGCTTTGAATTTGAGGACTTTAGTTTTCCCTTTGTGTATGCTGAGGCCTACTGATGCAGAGACTGCTGCTACACTGGCTGTCTTTATCTGCATCTGTTCGTGTGTACGTGATAGGAGGGCTAGGTCATCTGCGAAGTCCAAATCTTCTAATTGGTTCTGAGCTGTCCATTGTATTCCGTGTTTTCCTTCAGATGTTGAGGTCTTCATAATCCAGTCGACCACCAGAAGAAAGAGGAAGGGAGAGAGTAAACAGCCTTGTCTGACTCCGGTCCTTACTTGGAACGCATCTGTCAGCTGTCCTCCATGCACTACTTTGCACTGTAGTCCGTCGTATGAGTTTCGGATAATATTGACAATCTTCTGAGGAACTCCGTAGTGTCGAAGAAGTTTCCATAATGTCTTCCTATCTACACTGTCGAATGCCTTTTCATAATCAATGAAGTTGATGTATAGTGATGAGTTCCACTCAACTGATTGTTCGACGATGGTCCGTAGTGTTGCAATTTGATCTGTGCACGACCGATCCTTACGGAATCCAGCTTGTTGATCTCGAAGTTGGGCGTCTACTGCATCCTTCATCCGGTTCAGCAACAATCTGTTGAAGACTTTCCCTGGTATTGACAGTAGTGTTATGCCTCTGTAGTTTTCACATTTGCTCAGATCTCCTTTCTTTGGAATCTTGACGAGGTGTCCTTCTTTCCAGTCCATCGGCACTTGTTCCTCCTCCCAAATCTTTTTGAATAGAAGATAAAGCATGCTTGTGGTTGCTTCGATGTCTGATTTCAGTGCTTCAGCTGGTATGTTGTCGGGTCCCGCTGCTTTCCCGTTCTTGATTTGTCTGACGGCCATTCTAATTTCTTCCGTAATTGGTGGATTGACATCTATAGAAGATCTATGTGTGCTGCTTCGATGTCCGGTGGATTCATTGGAGCCGGCCTATTCAGGAGCTCTTCGAAGTATTCTACCCATCTGTTACGCTGTTGTTGAATTTCAGTGATTGGCTTGCCTTCTTTGTCTTTGACCGGCCTCTCTGGTTTACTATATTTCCCTGATAGTTTCTTCGTTGTATCGTAAAGCTGTTTCATATTTCCTTCTCTAGCAGCTTTTTCTGCCGTCGTTGCTAGTTCTTCCACGTATTTCTTCTTGTCGGCTCTAATGCTCCTCTTCACTTGTTTGTTTGCTTCTATGTATTCAGCTTGTGCTTGGACTTTCTCTGCTCGTGTTCGGCTGTTGTTTATTGCTGCCTTCTTGTTCTTCCTTTCTTTGATCTTGTCCAGTGTTTCTGTAGAGATCCATTCCTTATGATGGTATTTCTTTAGACCGAGAACCTCTTGACACGTTGAAGTTAATGCTTCCTTGATGCCTTTCCAGTTGTCTTCCATAGTAGTTTCTTCTTCTTTCAGTAGATCTTGTAAGGCTTGGAACCTGTTGTTGAGAGCTATCTTGAATTCATTGAGTTTGACAGTATCTCGAAGGAAGGCTGTATTGAACCTTTGTATTGCTGTTTGTCCACTTGTCCAGTTCTTTTTTAGCTTCAGTTTCAAATTGGCTACAACTAGGTGGTGGTCTGAAGCTACGTCAGCACCTCTCCTGGTTCTCACATCTTCCATTGTCCTTCGGAATTTTTTGTTGATGCAAATATGATCTATTTGGTTCTCTGTAGTGTGGTCCGGTGAGATCCATGTAGCCTTGTGTATACGCTTGTGTGGAAATATTGTGGGGTATATATAAAAATAATCAAGCTTTATTCTAATATTGAAATGCGTAGTCACATGATATATGCGATTTTCATATTTTCTCGTTAAACATGAAAGTTAAGCCATAAATCACCAAATCAGACGAGATACTAAGACAGTGTTCTAAAATCTTTGAATACAGTTTAGTATTAGATACGATTTCAACACCTTAGATAATTCACTTATGACTTTTTTCATCTCTCACCAGTTTTTTTCCAATTCCGTTTGCTTAAAGTCACATTTTTCCTGATAATTAGCTTAACAAATATGGTATTAATACAAAATATTTTTCGGTTCACTTTTTAATTGTCGTTTAACACTACTATATATGTCAAATCAATCGTATCTGAGGTCAACTTTGTGTCTATACTGTAAGGAATTAAACAGTGTTATTCTTGTTAGTTAGTTAACTCACACTTTACTTGTTCAGATGGTATCAATATCTCAATAATTAATCTACATTTTGTTTTAATGTTTATACTAAGTTATGCACCGTGATCTTTTTTAGTGAGAATTTCGAATTACCAATCAGTCTAGTCTAGACTGAAGTAGTTGATTTATATTAGCCAGTGTGTATGTGATAAATAAAACCTTATAAAGTCGATTATGCAGTCGGATATGCAAATTAATGCTCAAGTTGTCTGTCATAGACGTGAATCGATGTATTATTTATGTAGTTATTTCTTATGAGGATACTTTAAAATAAAATCGGCCCTCGTGATATGATGAGAAACGCTGAAATAACACTTGTTTCGAACAAATAATATACTTTATTAAACTTTAAACTAGTTTTAGACAAAGTTAAGCATAGAGAATATTTAGGCACAATTCAGTTAGTGGTTTTTTACTCCAAGTTCATTTGTTAAAAAGGATGAACTTTCGGATACATATCTAGTTGACTACATTGATGAAGTATCTGTTACCCAAGTTTTCTGATATTCATAAATCATTTCAGTAGTAATCTATTTCAGTTTAGATAATTCTCTCCTCTATCTTATTTCAGTATTACACGTTCTGTTGGGATGAAATAATCATCAACCAATACAGATTACTGTGTTAAAGCAGCACTTCTTTATTTCACTTGCACAGTTTATTTGCTTGGCATGTGATGAACATTTGTAAACTTTTTTGGATAAGATAGTACATGAAATCACACTTGTAGTTATTTTATTTTTTATGGTTTCATGGTTTTGTGATAGCACTTTATAACAAATTTTATTTTCAGTTTATAATTACGGTTTATTTCAGCAGTTTGTGTTATCAGTCTGTTTACCTTTAGTTTTTACTAACTGTTTAATGTAGAGAAAGTTTTTAATTATTTCTGTTATGTTGTGCTTCCACGTCTCCATTGTCCTTAGAGCACGATGAACACGTTTGTTCATTTATTTTTGCACATTATTTCATAGAATATTTTCAATTATTTTTTTCTAATTTAGATGTTAGTAACTTTAGTTTGTAATTGTTTGTTAAGAAGTTCATTTTACGGACCATTTTTAATCACGATTTTATATTAAAAGGAATTATTCCTGCATAGATATTGGTAAACAAAATTTTCTTAGGTTAAGTTATTAGATATGTGAATCTGATTACTTTGGAGTTTTTGTCATGAAGATGAGTAATTATGGTCTAGATATTAAGCGCTCGCGGGCGAGACTGATAGGTCTTGGGTTCGAATCTCGCGAGGCGTGATCGTGGATGCGCACTGCTGAGGATTCTCACAACAGGACGAAGCAGACATCTAGTGCTTCCAGGTTTTCCATGGTGGTCTAGCTCCAATTGACTGATGATTTCAACTATATAATTATGATTTATTAAGTTTATGTTATGATCATTTTCTGTTATGATCCCATGGATACTAGATTGTTGTGAGTTGATTTTCAAATTCACTTACTGCTTGAAAGTTTGGAATATCAGTG